GATTTAGGTTATGAGTTGCTTCTGTTGCGTAGTTATATACCCAAAACATTTGTGTTGCGAAACTAAAATCTGTTGCGAATTTGAAATTCAGCATTGCGACAGTCAGAATCGCATTGCGATAGTCATAATCGCATTGCGATTTACATATTCGCGTTGCGATAGTCATACTCGCGTTGCGATAGTCATACTCGCATTGCGATTTACATATTCGCATTGCGATAGTCGGAAAATCGCAACGCGAATTTGGAAATCGCAATGCGATAGTCAGAATCGCATTGCGAATCTGGAAATTGATTTGCGATACCGGAGATCGCGTTGCGAATTATCGATCGCATTGCGATTTAGTTGGTCATTTTGACAAATCTAAAAAAAGTTGGTTAAAATCGTATATTATAATGCATTTTTGGTCACTGAGGTTATTTTCTCTAATTTCAAATGACCATCTTCTAAACCAAGAAAATACTTGAGTTCCAACATTCAGGTTGACAACTGTCTCTAATGAGAAATCTAATTTTGAAAGCAAACCTGAGATTCTTTATGGTTTTTCAATGGTTGGGCCTGCAGTTAAACCTGCCCTTCCACTGGAATGCTGAGATACAGATTGAAAAGCTGAGTAAAATATTCCCAAGATAACGATAACCGGGAGCTAGAAGGTTACAAGCAGTACTTACTCGTACTCTGGAGCTGCCACCGATCTTTGGGTACGCGAACATGGTCCAGTCAAAGACATGGTCAAACTGGTAACCTGCAGCAATGCAAATTTGAGAACCATACAAAAAAAAATATTAAAACAACATTTAAGTTGGCATTCAAAGGAGAAATTAATTTGAGAAAATCCTGTGTTTGTATGTGCAAAAACATGTATGTGTGAGAGAGTGATGGACATCAGAATATTATACAAAGATCATTATTAAGGCATCCACAATGATGATAACTAACCTTCTCTTATTCATAAGTCCCGGAAAATCCTCTTCAAATATGAATAATCTGGTTTATCTTCAAACCGCAAAGATCGGCAGTAGTGAAAATAAGACACAAACTCAAATGGATACGACTTACAAAGCACCTGTTAAACATTCATGAATATTTCAGATCAAAGACAAACCAAATTTCTTAGAGGGAACAAACTGTCCAAGGAAGGCATAAGCGATCATACCTCTACAGGGGTGGATACCTTCTTTTTGCTTATCTTATCATATTTTTGCTTTTTGGTACCAGCTTTTAGCCCCTGCCAGGGAAGGCTGATGCAATGAAATTGTGCAAATTGAATCAAAACAACGTGAAAAACTAAGAAAGAAGATTCAATAACAACAATCAAACATTATCTGGAATGCATAAAACACTAAATGAACTGAGCATGTGGCCACGATATGCACAACCTTCCTCTCAGGAAATACATAAGCACATAACCAAGGGATTCCAAATCATCTCTTCGACTTTGCTCTGTCAATAAAGAGAAGAATTTATGTTAATAAAAGAAACAAGTAAGATTGCACCTATGAGATATTTACTGTTGCTAGTTGTCACAGAGTAACATTACTTACCAATTCCAAGGTGAGTGTTCACACTTGCATAACGAGCTGTGCCAGTTAGGTTCTTATTTTCTCTGCAGCAAAGAAATTGCTGAGTTGTTTCACAAACAAATGCACTTTGGCCTTGGTTGGATAGAACCAAAGACTAGGTACATGTTTACCGCTTAGATAAAACTACAGAAATAGATACAAAGACAGGAGAAAATAAAGAAAGAAAGAAACTTGAGCAAGAGAGAGAGGGAAATGCTACGGCAGCATGCTTTGGCCATGAGTAAAACAAACACCCAGCTGATTATAGGCCATGAAGTAACTTTCTTATCAAGTATGCTAAAACCCGATAGTCATGTACTGATTTAGATTGAGAACTATATAATATTGAGATCTTCAAGTTTGAATTTCAGTATAAAGATATCACCTGTATAGGGTGTTCAAACTTCAGTGAGAACCAAAATGATTAAGATGTAGAAGTATGTATAGAAGGACACGTTCTCCCCTCAAAGGATTGTTTTCAGTACTTAGGGTCTATGATACATAAAGATGGGATGTAGATGATGACGTTACACACCGTATAAAGGCGGGATGACTAAAGTGGAGGGTTGCTACTGGAGTTTTGTGTGACAAGAAGGTGTCTCTAAAACTTAAGGGAAAATTTTATAGAATGACAATAAGATCAACGCTGCTGTATGGATCAGAATGTTGGACAATCAAGAAGGATCACGTAAGGAGTATGGAGGCCGCAGAAATGAGAATGCTTCGATGGGCATGTGGTAAGACTATGTGGAACATGACACCAAACTGTGCTATTAGGATGTCCTTGGGGATGGTACATGTATCTAAAAAATTGAAAGAGGGAAGACTACGGTGGTTTGGGCATGTACTTAGGCGACAATCGTCTGATGCGGTTAGGAGGGTAGAGTCGATTACAGTTGACAGTACCAGAAGTAGAAGACGACCAAGGCGGAAGTGGGAATACTGCTTGAGTTCTGATTTGAAGGATTTAGCACTTACAAAGGACATGACCTCTGATAGGAAAGTATGGAGACTTAAGACCAGGGTACCCGAGTAGTGCGGGTCACAGCCATAGGATGTAACATCTCTATCTTTTTTTAATGCCTTTATAGTAATTTCCATGACTTCTAATTTTTATATGTTTCTGTCATTGGAATTTATGAAGGCTTAAAACTAGGGTAGCGAAGTAGTGTTGCCTTAATTTAGGTTTTAACCCATTTGACTTTATTCCTTCTCGTAGCTTGCTATCGTTGACTTCTGTGTATCATTCTCTCCAGGTTTACTCTTTTTAATTTAGTCGGGTCTTATGTTTCTGTCTATATACAGAGATTTTTACGCAGTGATATATTTGCTGGGATTACTTCCCATTATATACGCACATATGAAGACTGCATATGAAGACTGTTCAACTATGTATTTATTTATTTATACATGCATTGCACTTTATTTTTATTTTTAATTTTCTGACTGTCGGAGGTCTTCCACGGAAGATGCTCTCAACCTAGAGTTGAGGGCAGCCTACTACCATACCTCCCCCTTACCCCATTGCATATGAAAATAGGGTTTTATTGTTGTTGTTGTTGACCTGTATAGGATGTGCTTATGAGCCTGAAGATCCCTATACATCTTTGCAAGACCATAGTCAATGAAATATACCTATAATAACAGAAGCAAAAAGAAAAATAATGATACCGGACAAATTTATTCCCAGCAGCGACAAAATATTGTTATCCTAACCAGAAACACAAAATTGAAGGTGGTTATGCCAGCAGTTTAATGAGTACGTGCATGTTATGCCAACATAATATACAAGAAAACACAATAACTAATACCTGATGTGCCGCGCGTCCTAAGCACATCAAGAAGTTGTCAGGTTTTATTTCACGATGAAGAAAGCCTCTTGAATGCATATATTCTACTCTATTAATCTAGGGGAGAAAACAGAGGTTGAAAAGAGAATTAAATATAAAAACCTGAAAACTAACTGTTTATCACAAAAGCGTCGTATAATTACCATTTGATCAGCAAGCATCAACACTGTTTTCAAGGAAAGTTTCCTATTGCAGTAATTGAATAAATCCTCCAAACTAGGTCCAAGAAGGTCAATTACCATGACATTGTAATCCGTCTCAACTCCAAACTACTTAAGGTGGGGAATACCCTCTATATCAAGGAGAACCATCTTTTATACATAAGAACAATGTGCTTCCAAATAATTCTATTAAAAAAAAGGAACATTCAAGATAAAACATCAACCTTCCAGCATGTCCACAGAATTGTTTATAATTAAGAAGCGAACAAATCAATTTAGGACTAAGTTAATATTGCAAAAAATTTTGGAAAGGAAAGAAAACCCGCTATTACCTTTCTATATCAGCAAGTACCGATAACAGTAGCAAAAATGAAGACTGTTTTATATATTTTATAAAGAAAAGCTGGCTTCCATCAGATCAAAGCTTGCATTTTTTTTGGTATTGTTTTTTCTCATATAATGCCAAATTATGATGTAATACAAATTATCAAATCATTTTATATACAAACATATAGGGATAAGCTATAAGCACTGCAGAGACACAGAACTTACTTCCTCCTTGAAGAAGCATATATAATTTTGACTCATAATAAAGCTGCGGATGCTTAGTCTTTGCAGATTCCTGACATTAGGAACAGAAGAATAAAAAAATGGGTAATGTTCATCACTTTGGAGGTTAGAAAGAATAAATTGTCATTAGATAAAAAAATGTTGTATGTAGGAACTTTTCACACCCTTCACATAGCACCTAAATGATACATATCTATGTGAAAGTGCACCACCCAAAGTTATCAAAGGCTCAAGGCGCATCGAGGAGCAAAGTGTCCTGGAGCCTTGAGGCACGACGCGCATGAAAGGCACGGGATTCACGAAGGCCAGGCGCATGATATCCAAAAAATTGTAACACATGTATATATTAATGCAATCAAACTCAAATATCATAGATACCCAATATTAGGCTTCAATAGAGTTTATTCTCAAATTCAAAATACCAACCTAACGTCATAAAAGTTATCAACAAGCATAATCAAGTACTAAGTTTAACAAAAACATTCAACATGCAAAAACAAAACATCAAATAAAGTCACTAATAATCATCATCAAACATCAAACTAATCCTCATCATCATCGTCAAGTGGTATGTCATCATCTTCCTCCTCATCCGTCTCACAATCCCCAATGTCTTCTTCTTCAGTGTCACTCTCCTCTAGCATAACAACTTCATCATCTTCATAATCTTCATCTACAAGGTGTGGTCTAGCTTTTTCCTTTCCTTTCGAGCTTGAACTAGCAACGTTCTTTCTTCTAGTATTATGGTCACGCTCATAAGCTCCGGAAGCTATACCAACATCCTTCCATGTCAAATCGTCATCATCAAACACATAATCTTCATTTTCTTCTTCATCCTCATCCATTCTACCAAGCAATCATTCGTTACTTTCATCAATGTCATCCAAAGAGATTGGATCAATGACATCACGATGATTATAACGTCGCTTTAACGCTCGATTATATTTCACATAGACTAAATTATTGAGCTGAGTTTGCGCAAGTCGGTTTCTTCTTTTGTTATGAAGCTACCAAATTATAACAGAATAATCAAGAGTCAAAAACATTACTTATGATGTTTCTTAAATGATATCTGAGTTACTTACGAGGCTAAAAATACTCCAATTTCGCTCACAAACACTTGCACTACACGTAAGGCTGAGGACTTTGATGGCAAACTTTTTTAATTCCGGTGCATCATTGCCAAAAGAAGCCCACCACTCGGCTGTAAATATATATTTTAGAATAAGTTTTAGAACAAGCAAAAATTAAATTTGATTTATATTATTTTATATATGTATAAAGAAAGTAACCTGGTGACTTTGCTTCTCTTTGACGTATGCATGTTGCCATCCCAAATATACCTTCGGCGTTCCTATAAAGTGACAATTGGTCCTCTATTTTACCTTGATCAACAACACTCGGCACTAATCTCTCAATGCATTTAAGCAACCCGATCATCACCTCCTTATCTTCTTGAATTTGGGGATTTGAGTAGAATAACTGAGGATTCAAATAACACCCGACCGCGTGTAATGGTTGATGGAGTTGGCATTCCCACATTTTGTCAATAATTGCAAACACATCTTTGTACTTGTCCTCCACATTATTAAAGGAGTTTGCAATTGCTTCTTTTGCCCTATCCATGGCCTCATATACATAGCCCATGGCCGGCCTTTTTTCACCATCAACTAACCTAAGCACTTTTACGAGAGGACCCTTCATCTTAAGGATATACACAATTGTACTCCAAAAGGTAGGCATCAAAACAATGGATGCGACTCTTTTACCGCCATGCTCTTTTGAGTATTTACACTTCCTCCATTCATCAGAAGTAAACATCTTTCTAAGGTTTGCCTTCTGAACTTGTATTGAACAAAGAGTGATGTAAGCGGTGGCAAATCTGGTTATCGCGGGTCTCACCAACTCTGTTTTCCCGGTAAACTTCCTCATCATGTTTACAACACTTGTACAGCTATATATAAACCCGTTTAAGGCCATTGCTCTCTTTAACGTGACACGAACTTTCGAAATCTTTCATATGTCTTCAAGCATCAAATCAAGACAATGAGCAGCACATGGAGTCCAGTATAAATGTGGATGTTTCGCCATCAATAAACGTCCTATAAAGATATAAAAATTAAAATAGTATAAAACTTCAAGTCTTATATAATTATATAAATATATACAAATATAATAATTTAATATGGACGTTTCATCATCTGCTGCTACATATACAGAAGCATTGTCGGTTACCACCTGAACGACATTCTTCTCACCAACCTCCTCAACCATATCATCAAGCATAATAAACAATTGTTCGGTATTCTTCACAATGTCCGAAGCATCAATTGATTTGATAAAAACCGACCCTTTTGGAGAATTGACTAAAAAGTTGATAATGTCTTTGTGTGCAACCGAGTCTCTCCATCCATCTGACATGATTGAGCAACCATATTTAGCCCAATGCTCGTGATGTACTTGTTTCACCATCTCATTGGTTGCCTTAACCGCTTTAGTTAAAAAAGGAAATCGAATTTCATGGTACGTAGGAGGTTTGAAACCCGTCCCACATTGCGCCACCGCTTCCATTGCTACTTTAAAACTATCATAATTTGCTGCATTAAATGCCAATCCAGCATCAAAGAACCAGTTTGACAACTCCATACATGCTTTCTCCCGTAGTTGTTTTTTACATGCTTCATTGATGCTTGGTTGCTTCATTTTCCCATCTTTTCTGTTTTTCACAACTTGTTCGGGTGGTGGGGTGAAAAACATATCAATTGGTCCTTTAATGCCCTTTTGCTTCTTTGATGCTTTACTAGTACTATTACCACTTTTGCGAACACATGTACCAACTTCATCATCCTCGTCATCCCCAAAGTTATCTACATCATCAAAATCATATAAAACTTCCGCTTCTTTTTTATTTTGACACTTTTTCTCCATGTATTCTCTAATCTCCTTGCGTACATGAGCTGGACATTTTAGACATCTTGTACTATTCCGGTATCCACCCACTATATGTTTTTTAGCCCTATAAATACCTCCGGAAGTGATTTTGTCACAAAACATACATTTTACTTTACCTTTGCCCATGTCAATGCAATACTTCCAAGCTATATCTTGCTTTGAAGAAGTTGATGACTGATTTTCAGAAGTCATAATGTCAAATAAGATTTTTCAAAAGCAAAATATTGATGATTAACAGCTGCAATATTGTCCCAGAAGCCAGAAAAATGAAAACATAAAATTAAATAAGAGAAACTGTGATTATTAAGAACATACACATACGCAAACGAATAACTGCATACTTAAAAAAGGAAAAAAAAACAAAAACAGACACATACGAAATTACGAATAACTGTATACTTAGAAAAGAAAAGAAAAAAAACAAGAACAAACACATACACACGAATTGTGGTGATTATCAAGAGAATTTGATTCAGAAAAATAAAATTCTTTCAACACAGATGGTTAACAGTATAAATCAAAAGATCAATCGAAGAACAGAATCACTTACGGGAAGAATTGAATGTGTGAATCGATTAATCGAATTGTTGCTACTTTCTTGTTCAACGTCGCAGTCTCCAGTCGAAGAAAAGGAGGAAGCGAACGATCGATAGATTAGTATGTATGTATTAGAAGGCCGATTGACAGTAGATTGAGGGTTTTAAATAAGAAATGAGAATGAAAAATAAGAAAATGAGACTTTTACGTGTAGTTAGAGCCTTAAAAGACAAATCAAATTCAAATAATAATAAAATATTTTCTTTAAAAAAATTAAAATGAAGATGAGATAGGATAAGTTTATTTTGAAATTTAATATTAAAATTTGTGTTCTGTGAAATATTATTATTTAAATTAGTATAATGTAAATTTCAGAATAATTAAATTAGATTTCAAAATAAATAAATTTAATTATTTTAGTAAAATTCGAATAATTTAAGTATACATACTCACAAAACTTTTAAATCATAGATTTATATCCTTCACTTAGTTATTAATCAGTAAGTTAATTAAACATTCTTTTTAATCTATGCTAATACATAGAAGTACCCTTTCTTTCCGAGTTTCATCAGTTAATCGCAATGCATTCCTATTATAGGTTTGCTTAATTTTTAGACTGTCACAAATTTTGATGAGCGGAAAAGAAAATATCAAATATTGATAAATAAATAAACTTAGGTGAAGAAAGGACCAAAAACGATTACAAAGCTTATTTGTTTAAGATCATAAGGTCCAATAAATCTAGGACTCAACTTTCCTCTACGTCCAAACCGCAATACTTTCTTCCAAGGAGATACTTTCAAGAAAATTTTTTCACAACTTCAAATTCAATTTCTTTTCTTTTAAGATCATAATAGGACTTTTGTCGATCGAATGCCATTTTGAGATTATTCTGAATTTCTCAAACTTTCTCTTCCACATCTTGAATCAAATCCGAACCAAGAACACTTCGATCTTTGAGTTCATACCAGTTTAATGGCGTATGACATTTTCTTCCATATAATGCCTCATAGGGTGCCATCTTGATACTGGACTGTTAACTATTGTTATAAGCAAATTCTGCCAATGGTAAATATTTCTCCCATGACCCTTTGAACTCAATTACACATGCTCTCAACATATCCTCCAAGATTTGAATAGTCATTTCTGATTGCCCGTCAGTTTGAGGATGAAAAGTCGTACTAAAGTTTAGGCGAGTTCCCAATGCTTCATGTAGGGACTTCCAAAATCTCGAATTAAATCGAGGGTCACGATCAGAAACTATAGAATCAGGCACTCCATGTAATCTAATAATTTCTTTAATGTACAACTCTGAATACTTTTCCATAGAGAAATATGTTCTAACCGGAAGGAAATGAGCTGACTTAGTCAATCAATCAACAATCACCCATATTGAATCTCTTTTGTTCGGAGTCAAGGGTAACCCCGAAACAAAATCCATCATCACATTTTCCCACTTCCATTGTGGAATAGAAAGCGGTTGTAAAAATCCTGATGGAACTTGATGCTCAGCTTTGACTTGTTGACATACTAAGAACTTAGACACAAATTCGGTGATGCTTTGTTTTATCCCTGGCCACCAATACCGATCTTTCAAATCCATATACATCTTGGTTCCACCCGGATGCATCGTCAATGGACTGCAATGAGCCTCTGTCAATAAATCTTTCTTTAAATCCTCATTGTCGGGTATCACAATTCTTCCTTTATAATACAAATTCCCATCCGACTTAACCTCAAAATCTTGAATTTCTCCATTCTTTACTTGCTCTATTATTCTCAAACACATTTCATCTTTACTTTGTAATTCTCCAATTCGATATAAACACGTTGGTTTAAGCCTTAATTCTGCATATAGACCACCATCTCCAGTTAAAGATAATCTTGCATCTATAGCTCGTAAAGCTGCAAACATTTTCCTGCTCAAAGCATCTGCTACTACGTTAGCCTTTCCAGGATGGTTGTCAATTATTACATCATAATCTTTTAAAAACTCAACCCATCTCCTTTGCCTCAAATTAAGCTCTTTTTAAGTCATCAAATATTTCAAACTCTTATGATCCGTATACAAGTAACAACGTTCTCCGTATAAGTAATGACGCCAAATCTTGAGAGCAAACACTACATCAGTCATTTCCAGATCATGTGTCGGATAATTCTTTTCATGTGGCTTTAATTACCTCGAAGCATAGGCCACCACCTTGCCTTCTTGCATTAGCACGCATCCCAAGCCATTATGGGACGCATCACTATACACCACAAAATTCTTACCTGATTCAGGTTGAACCAATACATGAGCTTCTATCAAAATTTTCTTTAAAGCTTCAAAACTTTATTGGCACTTTGAAGTCCAGATAAATGGTACGTTCTTTCTCATCAACTTTGTTAAAGGTAGCACTATCATCGAAAAATTCTTAACGAATCTCCGATAATAACCGGTAAGTCCAAGGAAACTCCAAACTTCAGACACATTATTTTGAACTTACCACTCCAAAATGGCTTTAATTTTTTGAGGATCCACTTGAACTCCTTATGTAGAAATCACATGTCCAAGGAATGTCACTTCATTCAACCAGAATTCACATTTAGAGAGTTTAGCATAAAGTTTCTTTTCTCGTAAAATCTGTAACACATTCGTTAAGTGTGAACTATGTTCTTCTTTGGACTTTGAATACACTAAAATATCATCAATGAACACCACCACGAGCTGATCTAAATAAGGTTGGAATATTCTGTTCATGAGATCCATGAAAGCAGCCGGTGCATTCGTAACTCCAAATGACATCACGATAAACTCATAGTGATCATATCTCGTTCTAAATGTCGTCTTGGAAATATTTTTGTCTTGAATCTTTAATTGAAGATAACCAGAACGTAAATCAATTTTCGAGAACATTGAAGCTCCCTTTAACTGATCAAACAGATCGTCAATTCGGGGAATGAGATACTTACTCTTGATGGTTACTTTATTGAGTTGTCGATAGTCAATGCAGAGACGCATTGAACCATCATTCTTCTTAACAAATAACACTGGAGCTCCCCAAGGCGACACACTTGGTCGAATAAATCCCTTTTCTAGCAACTCTTGTAATTGCTTCTTTAATTCCTGCAACTCTTTTGGAGCCATACGATAAGGTGCCATTACAATAGGAGTTGTTCCCGACATTACTTCAATTTGAAATTCTACTTCTCTATCTGGAGGTAATCATATCAATTCCGCAGGGAAAACATCAGGGAACTCTCGAAATATTGGAATCTCATCTAACTCTTTCTCTTTAGCTCTTGTATCTATCACATTCGCAAGAAAACTTTGACATCCTTGTAGCAACAACTTCTTAGCTGCCATTGCCGATATCACATTTGCTAAAGGATTAATTCTTTCACTACTCAAGTTCACTTATGTTCCTTTTGGGCTTCTCAAAGTTACCATTTTCAATCTACAATTAACATTTTCATAATAACGAAACAACCAATCCTTTCCCAGAATTACT